CTCCTCCATCGCCCGCACCCATCCACCATAACCAACCACCTTGCACCTTCTTCCTCCTCCATCACCCACACCCATCTACCATAGCCAACCACCTTGCACCTTCTTCCTCCTCCATCACCCACCCTATTCACCATATCCAACCACCTTGCACCTTCCTCCTCCACCATCACCCTCGCTCACTCGAGGGTCGTAGGGGATTCTAGGGGGCATGAGGGACCTTAGGTAGGCCGGTAGGATGAGTAAAGAAGTAAGGTTGATTAGGGTAGGGAACTTCTCTTTCTCTCTCTCTCTCTCTCTCTCTCTCTCTCTCTATATATATATATATATATATATATATATATATATATGTATATGTATATATATATATGTATATATATATATATATGGTCTTTATCCCTCTTCCCTTCTATCTCCCCCTCCTTGACACATGATTAACCATCCCTCTTACGTGTTACATTGTCAGGGAAGGAACGACAAATAACTTGGTCCTCACTTGGTGGAAAGAGAGGGCAAGGGGAGGGTTGTCGGTCCCTTGTGCCACCAAGAAGGAAAGGAACGAGACCCTTGTGAAAAAACTTGGAAAAGCGGAATCACTTGAGAAGGCTAAAAGAGAGAGAGCTGGAGACAAGGTCAGTTTGACTCAACCATCTTCCCCGACTGCATGACTAAGAGGCATGGCTTGCTTGAAGGAAAGGAAAAGAGAACTAAACGGGTCATTGAAAGAAGAAAGGAACTTAGGCTTCTGGGAGGGGTGATGTGTTGACCCAAGGGGAATCGTATTTGATCTTTGCTTGTGTGGTCTTACACAGGTGAGTAACTTAGGATGGATTGAGCGGGACTGGACCCACTGAACGCGGACGGGAATGGGAAAAATTGGCAAGGGAAGGACGTAGACCTGATATACACTATAAATGCGGGAGGGGCTTGATGGTTGGATGCGTGGATGAATGGTAGATGTCGGGATGCGACTTTGCATGATGAGTGTGCGGCATGACCCCCTCTTGTGTGCAATGCAAAGCCCGGAAAGACTAAGGGCGCCCATGGATAATGTGAATGCAATGTCAATGTCTTAAGCGGAAAAAAAAAATTACAAGGGCTAGGGGCATGGACGACGCGACCGCACCTCGATGATGCCATAGAAATTGCCATGCTTAGTGAAAAGGTGTGTAAACCAATGAATGACGCTTGACCTACACAGGAAAGAAGACAAACTCTCAATAAACTCCCTGGACTGCCTGCGTATTGGAAGGAGCAATTGCCTGGTCACACTTAAATGAATCGATAAAACGTCACGAGTGATCAAAGAGCTACCATCTGACGCGAGAGTGGAGCTACATCCCCCAATGTAAAGACTTCTCGCAAATGGTCTATCCCCATCCATCTCATTGCACTAGGTGGGGGTGCCCCTGGGACAAACGACCCGCGCCCTGAGCGTGAGCGTGGGCGGGTCGAGCCAAATGGGACCCGAAGTGGGGTCGACTCAGGCTCGAAAGTCCTTCAGGGTTCGACCCCTACAAAAATGGTGGAGGTGCCGGGTATGGGTTAAACTGACCCATACGATCTCGAGGGGAGGCGCCCGACGCATGATCGTTAACACAACATTAAGACAAGGAACGAGGACTTGTGTATGCTCTACTCCCTTGAGAGAATCAGATTTGAGGGCGGTTGGGCGCATGGCAAGGCCAGTCCTGGAGGTATAATATGCATGTTGCATACATGATCAGCCATCTCCCTTGCGAGGTGACTCTAGTCCTCCTTCTCTCGGGCTGATGTTCGTCAGGCTGGGGAAGCCTTGGGCAAGCCGTAGGTCGACCCTTACTCTTCGTGTGAAAGAAGGGCTCCGGTTACCTGGCAGGCGGTTGGGATTCCGGGCTAGTCCGGGTTATGATGAAAATCCCGCAGCAGAACGATCCGGCTGACATGGGTGCCTTCTTCTCTCTTCTTCGGAGCCCAGCGGGTTCCTTGCACCGCACTTGAAATGCTTGAAGGAACCTCATATGAACATAACGGGTAATCGAGAAGGAACAATCATATCCTATGAACGGACAGATAAAAGAAGATAAGGGAATGAAGGGAGTTGCTAGACTCCAAAGAAAACTAGCTCACCTTTGAAGATGCTCACGAAAAGGAACTGGGCACTGTGTATAAAAACTAGGGGTGAGTGGCACACACGGTCCTGAGAGAAAACCCGTAAGCCATGGGTAGGAATCGCTGGGTGCAGCAAGGGGGCACTCGTATTATGTGTGTCCCACTTGGGACTTGTGCTTGCATGATGGGGATTCGAGCGTCCTTCCGGCCGGTGCGGGTTGCAAAAAGTCGTTCTCTTTGAAGTTCGCCAGGTTCCGTGTGCGGGGGTCGGGCCACCGGGTTGTCAGGCAGGAGTTGATCTCGTCGGCTGGTTAGCAACATTCTCACCCGGGCGGTCCGAGCATGGCTCGATGACCTTGCCCAGGCGGGGTGTGAAACGCCTTCAGGCGGGGTGGCTGATTGTCGGCAGACGGCAGGGGGACCACTTCGTGCGGGGCAAGGAGGGAGCCTCGGAGACGATTAGTAGCTTCTCTAGCTTGGTTTGGGAAAGGCTGATTCCTGTCGGAACGATGGAAGTGAATGCCCGGACGGCTGACTTTTGTGCCTGTATTTAGGCACATGGGGTAACCCTCGGTGTCGGTACGGATGTGCAAAAGCGGCAATACGGGATGGGGTATTCTGGGTACAAGGAAAGGGCTAACGCCTTGCCGGAGCCTGGGTACCGCGCTCGCGACGGTTGAGCTGTGCTTGAGGTACGGGATAAAACTCTGCCGATAGTAACAGTGGAGAGACCACTTTCGGGGAAAGGATGGTGAGGAGATGACCGGTCTGTGTGAGAAGCTTGCCTTATTTTCTTTTTTTTCGTCTCCCTCTGTAAAGCCTGCTTGAGGATGTTGGGAAGGGAATTTACCTTCTAAGTCTATTCTCGCCTCCCATCTAAGTCCGCACGAGTGAGAGAAAATGAGGATAAGCTTGGATAGGAGTTGGAAAGCAATGAACCAAGGAAAAAAAGAATGTCGGCTGGTGATGACCGATTGGGAGTACAGTGGGGACGATGGTGCCGGGGGAAATGGGCAGGGAAAATTAGGAGACCCGGATGAGGGGTCTGAAAACTATTCTCATCTAGAAAGGGAGACAGTATGACCAAGAGGGGCCGTGTGGTGCTCTCTTGTGGAAATAGGACCGGGGCCGGAAAACGGAATGACGCGGTGGTTCTCGTCTCCTACCTATTCTAGTGGTCCGGAAATGTCGATAGATGTAAAGGAAGGGGTATCTATCGTCCTCCCCGAAAAAGGAACGTGGACAGATCTGGAACCAGCCTACCAAACTGTGAGGCTGGACGAAAAGGACGAGTTCCTCTGGATATAGACTATCTGGACTAAGGTTAGCCTGGCGAGACTGTTGCCGAGCTTGATGGACTTAGAATTCCGAGGAACGGTGGAAGCCTGAGGGTGGATCTACCTATCCCAGGAGATGAAAAATGCAATGGTAATAGAATTGGTGCTGGGAACGGCGCCGGATTCGCTGTTTAGACAAGCGGAACGAGAAATGTTATGGGCGGCATGTCAGCGGGCGAAAAAGGAAATGGATAAGATGGAGGTGCGAGTGGAGCTCGGGGATAGGGGAAATGTGAGGCGGCCTCTTAGAACGATGAGGTGCGTGCTACCCCCGTTTCTAGTGGATGCAGTCTTTGGAACCAGGGGCAGATTGGAACAAATATGTCAGTCGATGACACACTCGAGGCTGTACCAGTGTGCCCGACAGGACTTCTTTAGGCCGTCGGTAGAAATGGGGTCGTTCAGAGGGAACTGGGCGAAAGAGTTAGCAGAAGTATTAAACCTCCTCAGTGCGGATGACGTCTTTGTACCTAGTTCAGTGCATTGGCAGATAATCTATCGAAGTATGGCAGTAGGGAAGACCTTCCTAGAAGGGCTGAAGGACTTGTTCTTTGACGGGGAGGATGATTTCAGTAATGACGGGGACGATGACGAGATAGAGGATTGGGATTTTTGAGAGGGGACTTACCCGGGAATGGGCTGTCGACTATGTGCAGGTAGGGAACGATGGCCCGGGAACTCCAGTTGTGGAACTACACGTTCAAAGGGTGGGAACCAAAGCGAATTAGAGGGGGAGTAGAAATGCCCTTGCCGACGGAATGTGAGTGAAGAAGAGCGACATGTGACTGGGTCGGGCTTGAGATCGCACCGGAACTGTCGTATCTATGGATATAACGCATCTGGAACCCCATTAGGGAGGAAGATGGATGAGAAGATATCGCAGAAGGAAAGGTGGAATCGGTTGGGACGGTCGTCTTATCGGAACAGGGATGGCATCTGTTCTGCACCACACTAGCGGCGGGGCAAAATCCGATGTGGCTTCTGGAGGGAGCAGAGACAAGGACTCGGAAGGCAGGTGAGAGGTTTGCCAATAAGGGATGGGATGAGGTCCACAGTAAGGTCGTAATGGGCTGATGGAAAGAATTTAGACCTCCCTGCCTGCGAAAGAGGATCTGGGTCCTCGAGTTCGTAGTGGACTGGTTTAGGGGTTTTGATCGTGTTGCGGAAGTGGCTAGCACTATGGAACGGGTGCACATAGACTATACATGGATGTCAAAGGAGTTTTATAAAACATCATTGAAGCACGGACCTTTCCATGGCGATAGAGCTTGGGAGGTCCTCATCATTTTGAATATGGATAGGTACGACCAATTGGAGGTAGCTCCGGAAATTAGGGAGGCTATAATCCGCCGGGAGGTAGCAGCGACACCTTGCTATGTGGATGATATGTTTAAGTTGTTCGAAGTACTGTGGTTCGATTAAGAACAGGAGAAACCCGGGCTAATGGGGTAAGTTAGGGGACAAAGGGAGAAAAGAAGTGGGAAGGGAAAAAGTTAGGAGGAAGCGTGGGTGAAAGGGTATGTGTGCCATGCGGACCAGACAGGTATAAAAATGCTGAGACAAGGGGTGGGATGTCTGGCCATTGTAGGGATCGCTGCGACTTGCGGACTAGAAGACCAAGGACATGGGCACGATGGCGCGAAGGAGGACATTCCTTGAGGACCGCCCGTTGGGCATTGAGTCGCCAAGGGATGTAACTGGCGGGGTAGAGATTAGCCTGCCCGCCGCAAGCGAGGGATGGCACCCGGTGGTGGACTGAGTCGGAGTTGAGCTCATGGAAAAATCGGTCTACCTAGTAACGAGGGTTGAATGACGCGCAAATGAAAATGAAGAATGAAACCCAAAACCACGAGGACATGTGCGTGCGGAAGGTTGGTTATATATGTCCGAGGACGGGTGGCGGGTGTTTGGAGTCCTGTTGGCATCAGGGGAAGATCCGTTAAGTATGTTCGAGGGAGCATGGCAACTAGTGTAGCAGACAGGATTCAAATTCGCGGACCCAAAAGTCGACGACGTAATGGCAAACCTTAGAGTAGTCATGGCCGGGAGCTTCCGTTTGCCCAGTGAGAACATTCGAATGAGATTGCCGCCCTTTTTACTAGAAAGGCTAGGCGGGCTGGAGCTTGTCAGGCGGGCAATAGTCGACCTCGCCCACCTGGCGTTTGAGAATGCGATGGTCCACCGTGAGTATTATCGGGCCTTCCTAGAAATGGGGCCGTTCAGCGGTGAACAAAGGTATGAAGTGTTGCGGATCCTGCGCGTTGTACTTACCACTAGGCCAAGAGCTCCAGTGGTTGGCGATGAGGTCCTATGGGGCGTTGTTCGACGAGAGATAAGTCAGGGAATGACTTACGTAGATGACCTGTACCGCTTGTATGAGCCAATGGAAGCAGAGACAGGCCGGTAGGAGAGGCAAAAAAAAGAGGGGGAAATAAAAAGGGGGGAGGATACTGAAGTAAAGGACCAGGGAGTTGCCTGGGTGAGGCCGAAGAATGGATGAAATAAGCAAAACCGCTTGCTATTTAAACTGTGCAGGGGACGGCTAATCAACAAATGACGATGAGACGCGCATGGATGTCGCGGCGGCCCACGCACCCCCGGCCACCCACGGAAAGTGGAAGCGGATGGGAGGTATCGCTCCCGGCAAGCTACATGGTTCGAGGAATTAACACCGAATGGAGGGCCGTGACCTTGGGAAGGGACCAGGCGTTCATGATGGTAGAGTGCTTGTGGAGTGGGATGAGGTTCGATAGGGAACCAGGGGACGACCTGTATACCGACGTGAAGGTTACAGGGACCGTATACTTGCCGGAAGTCGGATGGCACATGCTAGGAACGGAATTGGCACAAGGGCATGGACTGTAACCAATCTTCCGGAGGGCTACTAGGATAGTAGACCGGATAGGTCAGGAGGTGCGAGGAAGAAGGAACATGGGACTGAGAACCCAGGTGGAGGTAGGAAGATGGCAAGAGTTTAAGGCCCCAACGACGGGATTGCGGTGCCGAGTGCCTCGCTTCATGGTGGACTTGGTATTTGGCACCTGGTGGAGTCGACTCTAGTCTGGAACCGCTACTTTCGGCCGCAGACGACGGGGATGTTTTACGATGTGTCAGTTAGGCACGGGCCGTTTTGGGGAAACCAGGCCCGTGAACTGCTCGAACTCATAGAAATCCTGATATTCGGGTTACCACGCATGGCGTTTGAGGAATGTGAACGAATAATTATCAGGGAAATAGAAATGAGAGAAAATTATCTTGCAGGGGTGACCGATTTGTTTGAAGAACCGGATAGTGAGACGGACCTGAGGGACCAGCGTGAGAAAAAACCACCGAAAAAAAAGAATAAAAGATGGAAAATCGGAATGAGAAGCTAACCATCAGCAAGGGGGTAGTGGTTGGAGTTCCACCCTACCTTAGGCCGTGGCAGGAGGGAACTGGGAAGACCACCCGCGCTGAAGGACGCTGGGGCATCCGGGCGTCAGGAAGTCAAAAGGGGTACCCTCGAGGGGAGAGTCACTAGCCTCAAAAACCGCCCTAAGGAACCGGGGCACGGCAGTGACGAAACGCCAAACCTCGGCAGCGAGCCTTCCGGCAGAAGAAAGACAGAATGACGCCCTGTAGGAAATTGTCAGGTGGGTCGTCCCGATAAAAATAAGACGGCAAAACATGAAAATAAGTAAGAATAAGAGGGCCTTAGGGCCCGGGAACTAGGAAAGCCATGAACAACCGGCCGTTTCGCAAAATAAAAAAATTCCATGTGCAGGGTAGGGAAAGGGATGGCGTCAGAAGAGGAGGCCGAAGGGTTGCCGAGCAAGGGGAGTCAGGGCACGGATAGAGGCGGGCAACGGAACGAAGGGTCAGTAAGGGATCGAGAGTCGGCAAAACCAGAGGGGACCAGGGAAGACGGGAAGGACCTTTCGACAGGGGAAAGTTTGGGGAAAGTCGGGGAAAGCAAAAGAGGACCCCAACAAAGCAGGAAAAAAGGGGACAACGGCAGGACGAGTCCTCAAAATTCTGACAGAACCACACCCAAGAAAACGAAAGTCTCGGATGCACGACGTAAGCTGGCTGAAATAGAAAAACGGACCGCAGAATATAAGGCAAGGCGTATCGAGGAGATGATGGCTGGGAACGAAGGAAACCTTTTGGGAGAAGGGTCACGAGAGGAACGCAGGGTCATTCACGGCGAAGTCGGGCACGGAGGGAAGGATAGTAGTCATAAGGGGACTCCTAGCAAGAAAGGAAAGGAGAAGGGGGACTCCCTGTCCATAAAAGCCGAAAAAGCTACAACCCCACCTGCTATGGACAGTGGTGCTAGCCGTTGGACCACTACGCCGAAAGTAACTAACGGGTGCGACGGACTTTGGAGTCTTAGAGAAAGGGTGTTAGGATGGTTTGATCCAGAGGGTATGCCAAAGTCCGGGGAAAAGCAGAGGGATAGCAAGGAAGGAGAAGGGACCAGTATGGTCGGTGAAGCGGGGAGCTCCCAGGGGGGTATCAAGAGGATAGTAGCCACCCTCACCCGGGCTCTGAATAAGAATCAGGGGTATCTTGCGGATGCCAAGAAGAAACTTACCTTCGACGGGGCAAACATTACGGAGTTCCTGATAGACTATGAGAACCTGGCAGCCTTGCTGAAATGGACTGAGGAAAAAAACATGGATCACTTAGGGCAGCACGTGTCGCTCCGCTTAGGAAGGGACATTATGGCTATTGTCGCCTCTAGTGAATCCTGGAAAGAGACCCAGAACGAGATGATGAGGAAGTACCTGAAGGCAAAGAAAATGGCAACAGAAGCCGAGTTGGCGGCAGTCCAAAGGAAGAACTATGCGACTTACAACGACTTCCTAAGGGCGTTTACTCTAGTGGCACTACGAATTCCTGGAGTAACAGACCGTATAATGAGTAAGTATTTCCTCAGACAGTTCTCCGAGTTCGACAAGGATAAGATTTTGTCAGCCTACCAGCAGACTAGTAAGTTCGAGTACACAAGGGATGTGGATTTCAGCACGGTAACAGACCTCGCAGAAAAGACAGTAGTGACCGAGACACTAGTTCTGTTTAAGGAAGGAGAGGTTATAGACTTGACCGGGAAAACGGGGAATAAGGTAAAAAAGGGGATAGAAAACCTCCATGAACGGGTGCACGGGGGTGATAGCAAGATGGAAAGAGTGGAAAATGCGCTACTAGTAATGCAGGCGCAAGTATCCCGACCCACCCTCCCGCCCCAAGAGGCCATGGTTCTGGCGGCAGTAGCAAATCGAGGGTATGGCAGGAGAGATCCGACCAATGAGCAATGCAGGTATTGCACAATGACCGGACATTTCGTACGGACCTGTCCGAGACTTAACCACGATATTATGAGGCAAAGATGCAGCAGGTCCCTTAAGGCTGAAA